TTGTTGGACTTTTTAAGGGAGAGATACATAGAGATTTAGATCTCTAGTGGAAATATTAACCTTTTGGGATTTAAGGTGCAAATGAATAACATTTTTTAAAGGTGAGCTTTTATTTTAATATAAAGTCATTGCTTAGCTATTAGCTTATTCATTTAAACTAAGAATAGTAAAAGTTAACATTAGGTCTTTCGACTTTTTTTTTTTTTTTTGAGCCAGAGTCTGATTCTGTCGCCCAGGCTGGAGTGCAGTGGTGCGATCTCAGCTCACCACAACCTCCTTCTCCTGGGTTCAAACAGTTCTCCTGCCTCAGCCTCCCAAGTAGCTGGGATTACAGGCACCTGCCACCATGCCTAACTAATTTTTCTATTTTTAGTAGAGATGGGGTTTCGCCTTGTTGGCCAGGCTGGTCTCAAACTCCTGGCCTCAGGTGTTCCACCCACCTCGGCCTCCCAAAGTGCTGGGATTACAGGCGTGAGCCACATGCCCAGCCAGTCTTTCAACTTCCTGAAATGCACTCTGTTCCTAAAAAGTGAATACCTTTATGTATCTTAAATGTTAATAAAGTGATTCTAAATTGAATACTATTGGGAAACTGATGTGCAAGAGGGCAAAAAAGTTTGAATTACTATTAATGACTTTCCATTTATTTTATTTTGTGTTTTAAATCGTCTCTTCACTTTTCAAACATTAATGCTAATTTCCTTTAAGGTTCATCTCAGAAGAAGTTGTTGGCACCTGATATGTTTACAGAATCTGATGATATGTTTGCTGCGTATTTTGATGTAAGTAATTTTAAATCAACTGTTAAACAGAAAAAAATACAATAAATATATGGGTGTGTACGTACATACAGAGAAAGAAGGATAAAACAAATGTAATAAATATTTTGAGCAGTGTGGGTGAAAGGTGTCTGAAAACTTGACTAGTTTTGCATCTTATAAATCTAAAATTAATGTCAAAATTTAAGACAAGTATGACAGAACAATTTGAGAGCTTTATAAAAGTCAAACACCAAATGATAAACATGTAGTTATTTGTACAGTATTGTGTATTTAAATACATACACATACATATGGTAGTTAGGTGAGATAAGGAGATACCAATATTTTCTAGGTCTTTATTAGAATAGACTCTACTTTGGGGCCTCTATATTGTATTAACAGGTAATTGAGAACTTAAAGATTTGGAGTTTAATAGAATTTATTGAAGAATTGGAAATGTTACATGGAGTAGATTAACAAATTTTGGTGATTTTGCCATTTTTTTCTTAAATTTTTATCGATGCATTATGTTGGGAAAGTCTTAAACTATAAACATGGTCAAACTTGGGGACATTTTCAATATAATTTTCAAAGGACCTGAGAAATAAGAGGCCTTTATAAGAGGGGGTAGAGAAGATAAACATAACAGGGAAAATAAAAATGTGGTAAGATAATCATGTATGTGTATGTATATATATACACACACACACACACAGCAACAGGAGCACCAACATATAGATGAATTAGGAGAGAATGAAATGAGTATTGACCCAATTTTGGTGTCAGTACTCATTGCTTGGTTGATATTGAAGGATCTTCTGGGCATCACGGAGAGTAAGGTGCAGTAAAGAATCATCAGAAGTAC